CTTAAAGAACAGCTTAGCAGCAATCGTAATGAAAAAAGGTTTGTAGAGTTTCATATGTATACAAAATATGTGTCTGTAATTTCCACTATTTACATTAATTAAGGGCTGCAACATAAAGCACAGGGAGGATCTCTCGGATTTGTTCATTTCATGATGATATCTTTAATTCTCTAATTTTGGTAAATATTTTTTTAAATTTTTGGTAAAAAGTGATATTTCTCACTTCTTGTTGAAAACCGCAAGCCTGATTGCTTTTATATTACATATATAGGTACTACATGTGGACCTCTTTCAGATTTGTTAATTTTGTGATATCTTCAATATCTATAATTATTATTTTGGTGATTATTTTTGGTGAAAAGTGATATTTTTGAATTCTTGTTGAAAACAGCAAGTCCTGTTGCTTTGATACTATACATATTGTTCATTTTCTAATGATATCTTCTGTTCTTTAATTGCAATGTGCATTGCTAACAGCGGAGCTATCTCAGCTGACAGGCTGCTTGTTTTTAATGTATTTTCCCCTTTGTTCATTAATTCAAAGTTGTAACCCTTTTAGCACCATATTTTTTCCAGCTAAAATTTAAGCTAGGAGCATCAGGGGCTCCTTTTACATTTACTTCAACCCCAGTAGTTGTGGCAGGCCATAGCCATTCCAGTATTGTTACTCTCGCTCACAGTTCTAAACTACTGACTTTATACATGGTCCATTGACAGGTGGGAATGGAAGTGGTCAAGTCATCTGTCTTGGGACCGGTTGTGGCAGTATTGATGGTAGAGCTATTGTCAATGAAGGCAGATCATTGGTAAATTGCCATGGTGTAGCAGTGGCAAGAAGATCATTTCAGAGGTGAGATTACCAAATAATTACAGAGTTTGTATGGCCCCAGTGTACCCTGGAAAGTCTTGGAATTTCAAAGGTGTCCTGAAAAATCAGCATAAAGTGCCATTACAGTTGCAGATATTTGGATGATCAGTGTGAAAAGTGTCGCAAAGTTGTTGAATCTCTCCAGAAAATTACCAAAGTTGTGATGAAGTAGTCCCAGAAAACTTCTGAAAATAATAAAAAAAAGTCCTGGAATTTTATATATACTGGTATTATATCTATTAATACAGCATCCACTACTGCTATGCACCAGTTGATACATCTACTGGTACTGTCAAACACATATGACTCTAAGCTCTTTGGTACTAAGTATTGTCATAGCAACAAACTCATGATGAGCTCATGATTACTTATTCTCACAGATTTCTGTACAGAGAGTTGAAATTATTCTACGATGGTAACTTATCTGAGAGTATATTTGAATGCATTTCTGGAAGTCGGTTACTAAGTATTAAGAAGTCAGTCAGCTTTCATCTTTATCTCAACACAGCACCATGTGGTGATGCTGCAAGGTTTATATCAATGTAAGTATTCTTGGGGGCAGAGTTATGTCACAGAACGTTCTATATTGATAAGACGCACACCACTCTACTACGTATTTGTAAGTGCTCTGCGCAAGCTGCTATGGAACGTTGCTCGAAGAGCCAGTGAAAACATCTAAAGTGAAACAAAACAGCGCAAACTCAACTCTGAAGTAATTCTGAGCAACCAGATTTATATATGTTGCACATGTAGGGGTAGTTTTGTTACACTGCTCAAAGGTGTCACACCCACTATGCCAAAACAGTTTTCTGTGAGTTTTCGTTCTTTGTTTGGATTTGGACTTGGATGATTGCACCTGAGGATACTCAGTATTAAGTTAGTTTTTATGTCTACCTAGTATGTATGGTGCAAGATACAACAAGAGTGGCTGAATTTTCATAGCAAGGAGAGAAGGCCAGAATTCTATTTCAGCTCTGCCATTGCCATTAAACCTGCTACACCACCAAGGGGACTAGGTTGTCAGTTTATAAACAGTTCTTAGAGTTTTTACTTTTATATAAGTTATCTCATGCTGTCTGTATTTCAGTGATGCTTGCAGTGAGCCTATTAGTGATCTAGAATTGGAGTTTATGATGAGTGGTACTCACTATCCCAGTATTAACTTGGGTAATCAGCAAGGACATCTAACTGTTATATCCAATGACGGTAAGTGAGAATGACATTCAACCTCTATCAGTCAAAATATGCAAGTTTACATCATACTGCTCTAAAATGGTACAACAGTATTTTTTTACAGTATCAGTATTAAGAGTGATTGAAAGTCAGAGCTTGTATGCACTTACCAGTATGTAGGGACCTTTTTTAGGACAAGGAGGTGTCACTTAATTCTTGGCACATAGTGCTGGTGGGGGATATAGTGGTTACTGTACGAAGTCATATTAGGAGCACTATTGCAGATAGACATTAATACAGTCTGATATTGAAGACATTAGGTTTGATCAACATATTTATATGGTCATGTGACCTTAACAATGCATGGATATCACTGCTCAAACCAATAATAAAGATGGTGGTGGTGGGGGGGGGGGTGCTGCCATCACTGATGGCTTTTGTGTTTGATAAAGTCAAGATACACATCAAACTTTCAATTTCCTGTATTATCTAGGTTTTTTTATACAACAATTTCTTTAACAATTTATGGTGAACTGAACAGTGCAGGGTTGAAGTAAAGTGGTGAATGTGACTTTTATGTTATTCATATGTCACTCAAACCAAACTATAAACCCAGTCTTACATGAACAGTATCTATAGATGCAAATGACGATAAGTTTTTAAACATGGGTGGGGAATTTAACATAATATCTAATAATCTTTTTTTTTTTTTCCTCATAAGGTCAAATGTTATCTTCTCTCAACAAATTACAAACATGGGAGTCTATAACCCAAAGTGTAAGTATTTGAAGCGAAAGGGTCGTCACCAGCACACATGCGGGGATTGAGTCCCAAGCGACAATAATAACACGCGCTAAAAACGCAAAGGATCATGGGTGGACACTTGTTTGTAAACAATGAAACGCTATGGCCATCTGACGCATGCGTAGGTGATGATTCCTCGCTTTAAGGAATCTTTTTTCCCCCCAAATATTTCACCAAGTTAAGTGTCACACAATGTTGTTGTGACCACCATAGTCTGTCATATACCCGGTATATACACACAAGTGATACAAGAGTCTGTGTTCATGAGTACCCATCCCCTCTTGGGTGGCTGTTATACCTGTAACAATACTTGGACAAATATTGCAGTAATCAAATATTATTCTAACCATGAGAAAACAAATTATTGTTGGCACACAAGTCGTGGAAAGATTTTATATTTGTTTTGGGGCAAGGAAATCATTAGCCTTTCAACTTTTCAAACACGTACAAATATGTCATCAAATATTGCACGGTTGACTACATCACACTGAAGGAATGTTGTCCTTTACAGTAGTGAAGCTTGCCTATTTCAATAACAAGTCACATGCAATTTATAGGGGAATTGTACTGTCACTTTGCGATAACTTTAAATTTGAAAATAGATTTCAAGTGAAAATTAATTACTGCGATAATAATAACTGATTAATTATGTCAACTTGCAGGGAGTGATGTATAACATGTCATGCAGTGATAAATTATTAATGTGGAATCTACTAGGATTGCAAGGATCTCTTCTCAGCTACTTCTTAGAACCTATTTACTTGACATCTATTACATTAGGTGAGTTAAGGAGTATCGGTTTTACCAACATAAAATAGTGCTGGGACAGTCTGACTGAATTACATTGTTTTAAGGGAGCCAGTAGATTAGCTTATATTGAAGGGGGCAGTATATATTATATATTAATATTATCTAGAAAATATATTATTTTACTAAACATGCATATTCAATATCATTTAATAAGGTATAATAGCTGTGCTATTTTGAGGCACATTAATATACAAGATACATCCACTAGTAATACATGTATGTGTCTGGACACCTCAGCACACTAGTACTATATATGTGGACACCTCAGCACACTAGTACTATGTATGTGGACACCTCAGCACACTAGTACTATATATGTGGACACCTCAGCACACTAGTAATGTGTATGTGGACACCTCAGCACACTAGTAATGTGTATGTGGACACCTCAGCACACTAGTAATGTGTATGGGGACACCTCAGCACACTAGTAATGTGTATGGGGACACCTCAGCACACTAGTAATGTGTATGAGGACGCCTCGGCACACTAGTAATGTGTATGTGGACACCTCAGCACACTAGTAATGTGTATGTGGACACCTCAGCACACTAGTAATGTGTATGTGGACACCTCAGCACACTAGTAATGTGTATGTGGAGACCTCAGCACACTAGTAATGTGTATGTGGAGACCTCAGCACACTAGTAATGTGTTCGAACACCTCAGCACACTAGTAATGTGTTCGAACACCTCAGCACACTAGTACTATGTATGTGGACACCTCAGCACACAAGTAATGTGTATGGGGACACCTCAGCACACAAGTAATGTGTATGTGGAGACCTCAGCACACAAGTACTATGTATGTGGACACCTCAGCACACTAGTAATGTGTATGTGGACACCTCAGCACACTAGTAATGTGTATGTGGAGACCTCAGCACACTAGTACTATGTATGTGGACACCTCAGCACACTAGTAATGTGTATGTGGACACCTCAGCACACTAGTACTATGTATGAGGACACCTCAGCACATTAGTAATGTGTGTTTGGACACCTCAGCACACTAGTAATGTGTTTGAACACCTCAGCACAATAATATTGTTTGTGAACACTTCAGCACACTAGTAATGTGTGTTGGGTCACCTCAGCACACTGGTACTATGTATGTGGACACCTCAGCACACTAGTAATGTGTTTAAACACCTCAGCACACTAGTAATGTGTTCAAACACCTCAGCACACTAGTAATGTGTTCAAACACCTCAGCACACTAGTAATGTGTTCAAACACTTCAGCACACTAGTAATGTGTTCAAACACCTCAGCACACTAGTAATGTGTTCAAACACCTCAGCACACTAGTAATGTGTTCAAACACCTCAGCACACTAGTAATGTGTTCAAACACCTCAGCACACTAGTAATGTGTTCAAACACCTCAGCACAATAGTACTATGTAAGCATCTATTCTGATAACAAGAAAATAAATGTTTTTCCAGGTAACCAGTATGAGCATAGTCACATGGCAAGAGCCATGTGTTGTAGGTTGGATGATTCTATATCGGCACGGTTACCAGGGTTTAAATTACATCATCCACTACTTGGACGAACCAGTCACGCTATGCCTCTTTCCACCGCTAATACCGACATGGATACAACTGTCAGTCTGAATTGGTCACTAGGAGACAGTAAATACGAGGTTATCGACTGCAAAACTGGGAAATGTACCAATAGGTAATATTCTGCACTTCATCTTTATCTCAGGAAAACTAATAAAGTAGAGTTGAAAGAATACACAACAATCAAGCATTTCTACCATTTCAGAATGTGAACTCAGGCATGCATGGGTTGGACACTTTTATATGCCTTATATGTATTGCATTTTAATAATACCTAAAACATATTGCCTCATGAGTGCTGGGTACATACATGTATACATTGACCACATTGATATTATAAAGTTATTACGAAGATACCTCAAAGTATGCACAAAGACAGTACAGCGGTATCGACCGATGCGCAGCGGAGGACGATGCGACAGCGTACTGTCTGAATGCATACTTTGAGGTATCTTGGTAATAACCTTATTATTATACATCTTTTCCTTCCAAGGATACATCATTTTTTTATATTTTATAAACTTTTATTGAGTCTTAGTACAATAGTACAACAACTTACATGTAGCACATACATTGTTTCATGGAAAAATTACATCTTAGAAAAGTAACTGTTCATACACTATGTCAGACATTAAAATGTTATTGATACAATTGTGGTCTTATTACTTTGCCAATACTGCAAGGAACTTGCCCCATTTTTTAAGGTGCTGTTCAAGTTTCCCTTTTTTGTTTGCTATTATATATTCTATTTTTTGTATATTGTGTACAAATGGTTCAAAAGATCTAAAATAGGGAATTCTATTTTGATATCTACATTGCATATGTAAATATACCTCTTTGCTATTAATATTAAAAAAATTTAGCAATATTGGGATCAGCGGGTTTCCCAACAGTATTGACATTGCGTTAAGGGAGCTTCTTAGCCCAACCTTCCTGCCCCAATTTTCTGAGAATTTTGTCCAAAAAATAATTACCAATGGGCAATCAACCATGAGATGTATTAATGTTTCATCCTCCCCCTTGCAAAATGTACATAGCTTGGTTTCACAAATTTCAGGTCTAATTTTGTGTAATCTTATGTTTGTAGTGAGAAGGTTATGATTAACCTTCCACTGGAACTCTCTTAATTTTGTATCTATTGTTAATTTAAATGGCAACAA